CTACTGTTTAACTACTAACTAACTACTACTACAACTAACTACTTACTACTTTTACAACTACAATTAATTCCCTTCTACCCCTGCTGCTGCCTGCAAGCTACTACGACTACTAACGACTACTGCTACGGAAACTACTACACAACACAGCTACCACTACAACTACTAACTACTAACTACAACTACAACTACTACTACACTACTACTACTACTACTATTACAGGCTACTGCTACTGCTACTACTACGACTACTACTACTACTACTAGTACTACTACTACTACTATTACTACTACTACTACTACTACTACTACTACTACTACTACTACGAGTACGACTACTACTACTGCTACTACTACTACTACTACTACTACTACTACTACCACTACTACTACTACGACCACTACTTCTACGACTACTAATAGTACGACTAGTACTACTGATAACCACCATAGGTACTACGTGTAGACCTAAGCCTACCAGTGGTGCGACTACCACTGCTGCAACTACGGCTACTGCTGCTGTTGTCGCTAGTACCACTTACCCTAGTACAGGTGCCAATATCACCTGACTGGTTGATGCTGTGATTAGTGCGGCCACAACTGCTACAACCATTATGGCGATGGCTAGTTCGACCACGACTACTACCACCACGACCACTACAGTATCACTACTACTATTGCGGTTGCTGCTGCTGCGGTTGCATAAAACATCTCCTACAAGTACACCACCACCACCTTTACTACTACTACTACTACTACTACTACTACTACTACTGCTACTGGCACTACTACTACTACTACTACTGCGAATACTGCTGCTACTCATCCCACATCGCTACTACAACTATTTCTATTACTACGGCTACCACCGCTATTGCTATTATTAGTGGTGTTACTACTACGACTACGACTACGACGGTGACGACGAAGATGGCAGAGACGGTTACTGCTACTACCACTACTACTACTTTTACTACTACTACTACTACTACAACTGATATTACTACAACTGACATATCAAACAACTGCTACAACACGATCAACTACAGTATACAACACCAAACCATTACACAACAACTGCTCACACGCTACACTACTACTACTACAACTACTACAACTACTACAACTACTACTAACTAATCCGCTAACTATTGCACTACTACTACGACTACTACTACTACAACTACAACTACTACTACTAACTACTACTACTACTACTACAACAACGACTACTACGACTACTACTACACTACTTAACGACTAACGAACTACTACGACAAGTACTACTACTACTAATACTACTATTACAAAACTACTACTCAAAACTACTACCTACTCACTAACTCAACTTCTTCTACTTCTACTACTAGTGCTACTACTACTACTACTACTACTACTACTAATACTACTACTACGACTACTACGACTACTACTACTACTACTACTGCTACTACTACTACTACTACTACTGAGACTACTGATACTACGACTACGGCTACAACAAGAACAACTACTACTATTACTATTACTACTACTACTACTACTACTATTACTACTACTACTACTACTACTACTACTACTACGGCTACCACTACTACTACTACTACTACTACCACTACTACCACTACTACTGCTACTAGTACTACTACTACTACTACGACTACTACGACTACGACTACTACTACGACTACTACTACTACTACTACTATTACTACTACTACTACTACTACAACTACTACTACTACTACTACTACTACTACTACTTCTACTACTTCTACTACAATTACTACTACTACTACCACTACTACTACTACTACTACTTCTACTACTACTGCTACTACTACTACTGCTACTACTACCAGGGCTGGTCATAGATCACGCGGTAGAACTTGAGTGGGTAAGGGTTCGGGTTCGGGTTCGGGATCGACGTCGGCGGGGAATCCAGGGTTGTCGTAATACTCCATCTGGGTTCTTACGGGTGACAAGTAGACTGGTAATTCATTATGCTGGAGCCTGAGGTGAGGTTATTTCGCATAGAATTCTCGGTGGGGAACAGATGGAATATTCAAGACTTCTGCGGGTTGTTGGCATCAGTGCGTTTCCTGTTGAGTCCCTTTTTGGAAACACGTAGAATACTGTCAGCGCGTTTCCCATGTTTTTTGGATTGAACAGCAAATCTGGCATGGAAGAATTTCGCGGGATGTTGGGACCGGCGCAGCTACCATTGGATCCCGGTTGAGAAACAGATGCGTTAACCAAGAAGTCTACGGGAGGTTTGCATAAGCCAGGTTGAGGTCGGCGCATGTCGCGTTGAATTTCCATGGGGAACACATGTAGAATTCAAGAATTCAGTTGGAGGCCGGGATCAACGTTTATATTTTCTGTTGGATATTTGTTGAAAAGCAACAAGAACAGGAAAAACATGTGCGGGGGGTTGGGGTCAGCGCGTTCCTTATGGAGCTCCTGCTGAACAGCACATATAATAGTAATGAAATCAGCAGGCGGCTGGGATCGGTGCATTTCCTGTTTAGTTCCCGCTGAAACAATTCGTTTGGCGAGAGACCCGCCCATATGCAGTTGCGAATCACGCATTGTACGGCCCCCCATCATAGGCAGCGCGCCGTTGGAAGGATGAGGCACGGACCATGCAGATTGGGACCGCGAGACGTGTGAGCGGTGTGCCGAAATTGTTTGGGGGACGCGTGCGGGTCTTGGCACATGAGATTTCGGTGTCCCTTGCTGGGGCCACGAAACGTGTGAGGGGTGTGCCGATATCGGTTGGGGGCGCATGCGAACCGTGCCCCAAAAGGCTTCGGTGGAACCCGTGTGGGGGGGCCACGAAACGTTTGAGAGATGTGCCGAAATATTGGCTAGGGGCGCATGCGAACGCTGCCACAGGAACCTTCGGTGGAGCTCCCTATGGGGCCACGAACCGTGTCAGTGGTGCGAGTGGTGTGGTGGAGTTCGCTATGATGCCACGAACCGTGCGAGGGGTGTGCCGATACGGTTGGCGGGGACGCATGCGGCCGTAGCCGTAGGGGTTTTGGGTGGAGCTCCCATGCGGCCAAGAAGCGTGTGAGGAGTGCGCCGAAATGGGCGGCGCGGACCCATACGAACGGCGCCACTGGGATGGGAGGAGGGAGGGAGGGAGGGAGGATGGGGGAGGAGGAGAGGAGAGGAGTGGACGCGGGGCGCTGTCTCTTTAAAACGAGGACACAAAAAAAATATGATTGGGAAACACAAGTAGAACATCAAATAACTATGCGGCAGGCTGGGACCATCGCATTTCGGATTGAAATCATGTTGAAAAGCAAGCCGACGACTAATGCATTCAGCGGGAGGCTGCTCTGGGTTCTCTCAGGACTCTCCAGGGTTCTTGTAGTTTCCCGAGGATTCCCGCGGAACCTCAGAAATGTTGAGGAACCCATGTGGCTTCCAACAGCATTATCCAGGCTTCCATTGGGCATCATATGGGTTCCAATTGGGCCCCTCGAGCTTTACAATTGAAGACATAAAGTTTTCCCCGAGTGAATAGGTGACGACCGCAACTTGCCCTCTCTCCAACAGAGTCCTTATGGCCCGCTCAGGCGGGCGCCAACGGTCTCCAGCCTGGCGCGTGAGTCCGGGCGCGCATGACCAGGTGATCACTTATCCTACGGCTACGAGTGCTGCCGCTGCCGCTACTATTGTTGCTGTCACTACTACCACTACGACTGCCAGTTTATTTATACGATTTCAACCCACATTGCTGTTACTACTACCGCAGCTACTGCTACTTCTACCAGGCTTGCTGCTACTCCTGGTAGCTTGCGCTGCAGAGTTGGCATCATCTAGAGTGGACCGCGAAAGGCACTGAGTATATTGAACCCTGCAGGTTGCACCGTTTGGCTTGCACCACGTAGATTGCACCCCGTACGTTGTGCTATATCGGTTGCACTAACTCGTTTGCCACCCTCGGATGGCCCCACACTGACCGCACGTCAGCGATGCAAGACCACTGTGCCTCGGGGGGAGGAGGAGGAGGAGGAGGAGGAGGAGGAGGAGGAGGAGGAGGAGGACGAGGAGGAGGAGGAGGAAGAGAGGGAGGAGGAGGAGGAGGAGGAGGAGAGGAGAGGAGGAGGGGAGGAGGGAGGAGGAGGAGGAGGAGGAGGAGGAGGAGGAGGAGGGGAGGAGGAGGAGGAGGGAGGAGGAGGAGGAGGAGGAGGAGGAGGAGGAGGAGGAGAGGAGGAGGAGGAGGAGGAGGAGGAGGAGGAGGAGGAGGAGGAGGAGGAGGAGGAGGGAGGAGGAGGAGGAGGAGGAGGAGGAGGAGGAGGAGGAGGGAGGAGGAGGAGGAGGAGGAGGAGGAGGAGGAGGAGGAGGAGGAGGAGGAGGAGGAGGAGGAGGAGGGAGGAGGGCACACTGGGCCTGTACACGTGGGGCTCTTGCTTGGATGGCAGACCCACGGGGCTCTCGTCGTTCAATGGGGGAGGATCTTCCTTAGCGAAGAGGAATGCTGGAAGAGACGACTGGTCAGGGGACTTGCCACGGGAGGGTTGATTACAGCATCATTGATGCACCTTGGGTTTACTCTGGCCCTGCGCCTCCTCCTCCTCCTCCTCCTCCTCCTCCTCCTCCTCCTCACACATCATCACCCACCTCCTCTCATCTCCTCTCACTGTCCTTTTCCTACCCACCCCCTTGTCCCCCTCTCCCTCCACCTCCTACTTCCCTTCCCCTTCTCCTGCTTCACCTTCGCACCTCTCTCCTCCTCCTCCTCCTCCTCCCTCCCCCTCCTCCTCCTCCTCCTCCTCCTAATCCTACTCGGGGGGGACCCACAAAGGCGGAGAAGGCTGTGGCTCGTCGCGCACCGCTCGCTGCTGAAGGTCTCTTTCCCGGACGGGGGGGTCTGGCCCTTTGTTCAGGGGAAGAAGCAATGACATAAACATGCGAACTTGGAAGTCTGCGCGGATTCTGAGCTTTATGTTCGTGTCATTGTTTGTTCCCCTGTTGCCAGGCCTGCAGGCATGGCCCGCGCGGACCCAGAGGCGTTGCGCCGGCTGCGAGTCCAGGCGCACGTCGCGAGGGAAATCATTGCCCGGGAGGTGTTCAGACGTGGAGATCCCTCTCTTACCCGCCCCCTGCTCGTTGTCCAAATGTTCCGAAGTGCGAAATACTCTCACTCTGTTTGCTGGGGTCGCGCCCGAGAAGATGACACGTTGCCCTCGTACAAGTGCTGCGCAGGTTTCCCTGAAAGCTGTGCTACGTGGAAGCACGGCCTCACCAGACGTAATGATGTCAAGATGCGGCCTGCTGGAGGATGCAGACGTACCAAGCCGAGAGATAGCCGCCCCAACGTCCAGCATTACTTGGGTATGGCATGATTTGAGTTCGTGCGTCACGGACGTGGATATAAGAAAAAGGTTGACCCCATGTGGAGATCGATGGGCAGTTTGGTCGGATTCCGAACCACTCCTCCAAGCCTTTGGGGAATTTCATTTGGCGAGCCCCATGATCGCTTTGGAGCGTGCGAGACACCCGAATAACCACAGAAATCGTAGGTCTTGGGCCAGTAATAGCATCACCAACGGACAATATTGAGGCATATTGGCGACGTGACGACGTTTCACTGAAGTGTCTGCAGCACGATGCTTGCAGAACGGTGCCGTCGATTGGCTCAGAAGAGTAGCTGATTTTGGCGAGCTGAGTTGATGCTGGCCCGAGCCTGTCTAGCCCAGCCCACACAATTCAAGATCGTATACGTCACAGCCTGACTCAGCTCACGACGCTCAAGCCTCCGAGCTTGACCGCAGGACTGAGCGAGCAGTCCAGCTCAGCCCATGCAACCTGAGCTTGCCCAGCTTATGAGGAGAATCCAGGAGCCCTCGCGCGGCACGCAATAGTTCTATGATCTGGTCCGCACGCCCGCCCTGTCAGACATGGACGACTTTCGCGCGGCGAGTTTTCGAAGCAAGTCCGACGGAGATCCGACGTGAATCGGGTGCAAATCCGACGCAAATCCGACGCAATCTGGCGTAGACCCGACGTCAATCCGACGTGGATCCGACGCACATCCGACGCGAATCCGACGTTACATGAGGTCTCAGGTTGCCGCGCGAGGCCTCGGGGATCTCCCCCTAATCTAACCCAGCCTATATTCGGCCGGGCTCGGGCCGGCCCGGCTTGTCCTGCCGCCCGGAGGAGGAGGAGGAGGAGGAGGAGGAGGAAGAGAAGGAGGAGGAGGGATACGAGCAGAAGGAGGAGGAGGAGGAGGAGGAGGAGGAGGAGGAGGAGGAGGAGGAGGAGGAGGAGGAGGAGGAGGAGGAGGAGGATGGCAGGCCAGGCCGAGCGGGGCAGGGCGACCACGGGGCCGCCGCCGACGCCCGCGGGGCGCCCGCGGGGGCCTTCGAGAGGCGAGCCGCAGAAGCAGGCCTGGCACGACCACTGCGACACCGTCCTCGGCGGCATCCGCGACCCCAGCCGCCACGACGCGGCGCGCCCCGCCCGCCCCCCCCCTCTCCGAGCGCCGAGCCCCTCCCGGCCCTCCAAGGCCTCCCCCCAGCGTGTCCCCTCCTCCTCCTCCTCCTCCTCCTCCTCCTCCTCCTCCTCCTCCTCCTCCTCCTCGCGGCACCCCTCCGCGGCATCCCTCCGCGGCCTCTCCCGGCCTCCTCCCGGCTTCCTCCCGGCGCCCGCGCCTCGAGAGGTCTCGTCGGGCGGGGAGCGCCGGCCGCGCGGCGGCGGCCGTCCACCCGCACAGGGAGGATGGGCAGCCTTCCCAAAGGGTGCCCCTTGGCAGCCTTGCCTCCCCGATCCATCCTTCGCCGCTTTCGCTGGCCGCGCCCCGCTCGGAAAGCTCCGAAATGGGCGTCCAAGGCCCTTGCATCCCTCTCGCGCCTCCTTGCTGCACTGGTTGACTGTATACCCCCTTTTGTCAGAGCCCGACTCGTGCCCGAGCCCCGAGCTCTGGAAGGCCCGGTTCTCCCGCGGCCCCCCGGGGGGGCGCGCGGGGGCAGTTCTTGTCCTTCGCCCCTGGCGGAGAGGGAGAGGCCCACTCCCCCCTCCTCCTCCCTCCTCCTCCTCCTCCTCCTCCTCCTCCTCCTCCTCCTCCTCCTCCTCCTCCTCCTCCTCCCACTCCTCCTCCTCCTCCTCCTCCTCCTGTCCTCCTCCAAAGTGTGGAGTCCGTTTCCTGACGGGTTCCTTGGCAGGCGGAGGCGGTCAGAGGCCCTTCTCCCGCGTTTGGTGGTGGGCCGGGACCCGCCAGGTAAGGCCGATGCGGTAAGCACAGCTGCGCGCGCCGGAAGGGGGGAAGAGCAGACGCGACCTCGAGAGAGGAGGAAGGTGATCATGAGATGGGGATACTGATGACGATGATGATGATGATGACGATGATGATGACGATGATGATGCTGCTGCTGCTGCTGCTGCTGCTGCTGCTGCTGCTGATGATGATGAGGAGGAGGAGGAGGAGGAGGAGGAGGAGGAGGAGGCAAAATACGAAGAGGAACAGCATGATGCGGAAAATGGAGCATCAGGAACAGGGGCAACAACACGTGCGGAAGCGGGATCTGGAGCAGGTGGCGAAGGCGGAGGAACTTTTCGTCGCCTCAAGAGGGCAGTTGGAGTGCGAGGGTCGAGGTAGGAGGACCCCGATGGTTGAGGATTGTCGGCCCTTTTGGGACTCTGGATGCCCTCCCTCCACCGCTTCTCTCCCTACCTCCCTTCGCCGCTTTTCCATGTCCTCATTGTCCCTTTCCTCAACGTCGAGCCTTCGTATTCCTCCTCGTATTCTCCTCTACCAGACTCTCCAACCCGGATGCTCCGTATTCCAGCACTGTCCACGATTCAAACGGAATCTGGATCGTTTGCCAGGGGCAAGTACGTACATCCCCCTAGAGCCCCTCGTTCACCTCGCTCTCATGGACAGGACGATTGACTCTCTCGAGTGCGTTGCCATAGCCTACCAGTCTTACCGCATGCCGCGCGCCAGTGAAATCGAGGGCATTCGCACGCACAAAACAGCTCGTGCTGTCCGAAGGGCGGCTCAGTCCACCTTCTGGTGCGGCTCGGCCGCTCGGCGCTAGCGGCGACCTTCACGAAGTATTCTTCCGAGACGCTGAGTCAAACGCACCTCGGGAACAACAACTAGACAGTCTCTTCCGAGGCGTTGAGTCTCACCATTCCCCCCAGACTTCCGCCGTGTTTCTCTTGATCTTTCCTTTTGGCCCATCAGCATCACGTCTCGACCTGGACTGGACCACCTCACAGAGGTTTCTGGCGGGCGCCGCGGGACTTCGAGGAAGCAGGGGGAGAGGGAGCGGGCGGAGGGGGAGGAGCAGGAGGTAGACGAGGAGGGCGAAGGAGGAGGGGCAGGAGGAGAACGTCGAGAGGGCCCCCCCTAGACCGAGCCTGCTTGAGCAGGAGTGTCCCGCGGACCGAGCGGTCGTCCCCGATCGTTGTCTCGTGGTCTCTCTGGACGCTCCAGGACTTCTGGGCCCCAGGGCGTTTCCTGTGCCGCGCAGGCTCCAGAGATGGGGGCCGCTGGATGTTCTAGAACTCTATGACACGTCAGCCACTGTGGGCCCCAGACAGAACATTTGTGTACTGTGGGTGTGCAAGCTATTTGTAGGCGATGCGGCGTAAACTATGTGATGCAAGCTATGTGGTGCAGTGTACGCGGGGCAGGCCAGAGTGTTTGAGACGCTGCAGCGAGCGGCAACATGGCGAAGCCTCACCGGGCCCACCCAGCGCACGAGGCGGCAACGAGGTGGCAGGCAACGTAGCGAAACCTCGCCAGATCCACCCGGCGCACGAGTCGGCGATGAGGCGGCAACGGGCGGCAACGTGGCGAAACCTCGCCAGACCCAGCCAATTCCTTAGGGAGGCAAGCGGGAGCCCCTTAGTGCAAGCACTGTTTGGGGAACCATAATTGCCCTGAAGATGCACCGCTGCTGGGCCCCTGAGCTTCGAGAAGAGAGGCACGTCCGCGGCACGTCCGCCCTGGAGGGCCGGGCCGGGACGGGTCGGCGGAGCGGTCTGCGGGCCGGGGCGGAGTTGGCAAGGCAGCGCTGGAGCAATTCATCGCAGCCCAGGGCGTGCCGTGAACTGCCCGGGCCCGCGCGAAGGGGTGGGAAGAGGAGGAGCCGGAGGAGGAGGAGGAGGAGGAGGAGGAGGAGGAGGAGGAGGAGGAGGAGGAGGAGGGAGGCCCTGTGGGAGGAGGGAGGAGAAAGGAGGAGGAGGAAGGAGGAGGAGGAGGAGGAGGAGAGAGGAATGGCTGGAAGAGGAGGGAGGAGAAAGGGCATGATGAGAGGGAACCTCCCATGATCTATCCGCCAGCTGGTGTCATAGCGGACCTGGAATCTCCCAAATTACCCAATCGTGTTGTGCGCGATCATTAGAAATGGGAATTGTGTACATTGGAGATGGAGGAGGAGGAGGACGAGGAGGAGGAGGAGGAGGAGGAGAGAGAGGAGGAGGAGGAGGAGGAGGAGGAGGAGGAGGAGGAGGAGGAGGAGGAGCAGGAGGAGGAGGAGGCGGAGGAGGCGAACGAGGCGTATGAGCAGGAAAGGAGGAGGTGGGGTAGGAGGAGGAGGAGGAGGAGGAGGTGGCGGAATAGCAGTGGACGGGGCGGCAGACCCTTTCGGACCCTCCACCCGTTCCGCGCGCGGTGCCTGCGGGTGAATCCCGCGCCGCCAGGAGGGCCGCTCCCGACTCGGCTCCTGCACTGGGGGGGTGCGTACAGCCAGGCACGTGCTGCACACCTTGCACACCTGCGTGGATGTCTTGCACGTCCCTCGACAGGTCGCTTTTTCGCGAGGGCACATGCTCGGGACGGCCCTAGCGCCCACTGGGCGAGAGGGTGCCCCGTCGAGCGGAAAGGCACCCGCTGCGGAGGGGGACGGGAGGAGCAGAAGGACGGGAGGAGCAGAAAGACGTGAGGAGGACGATGAGGAGGAGGAGGAGGAGGAGGAGGAGAAGGAGGAGAAGGACCAGTGTAAACCCAGGACCCACCAACGATGTTGGAATATAGTCTCCCTCCAAGCTCCCTCGTCATAGGCCCCATACATGGTTCATTTCCACTGAGGGAAGTGCCTTGTTGGGAGACCCGTATCAGAATCTGGAAGCGTGCCAAAATACAACTCCCTTTAAGTCCACGAAGTCCTTGCAAATGTGTAAAACGAATGTGCGCGGCGCTACGGCGAGAGCCACATTTTGAATACGAACTTCCCTCAATCCGTGAATACCTCGCAGGTTGTTAAGACGAAAGTGCGCGGCGTTGAGGCGAGAGCCACATTCTGAGAACGGCCCGCCCTCTATCTGCGAAGCTGCAGCAGGTTTCTACGCCTCAGGCTCATCAGTGGTAAGGGGGTCTCAGGCGAAACGCCCGGCCCGCCCTTCCGACCGGCTTCGGGGCGCGATTGGCAGGAGCTCTTCACAGGGGAGAAGGGTGGATGACAGGCGGAGGAGGGCGGCAGGCGGAAGGGAGGACGGCAGGCGGAAGGGAGGGCGGCAGGCGGAGGAGAGGCGGAGGGGGACGCGCTCTGACTGCACCGCACGGCGGCGCCACGCTCCCCGAGGCAGTCGGGCTGGCTCCCGTCTCGCGCTGCCCCCCGCTCGGCGTGCTCCGCGGTCGGAGACGGGCGCGAGCAGCGCGCGAGCGCGGCGGAAGAAAGGCAGCGCACCGAGGGCGAGGGGGAGGAGTTGGAGGAGAAAGCGGAGGAGGAGACGGAGGAGGAGAAAGAGGGGAAACAGGTGGATGAGGAGTAGGAGGATCGTGGAGGAGGATCGAGGAGGAGGAGGCGTACAGCTCTTGATGTCCCGGGGCGTACGAGCTCACCCTTTGACGACAGGTGTGGTTGCTCCCTCGAGGCTTCTGGCCCTCGGGCAGTGCTCGTGCGCATTGGGGCATGACCTGTTGCGACTGTCTCAGGTCCCCGGATCGAGGTGCGAGGTTTTTCCCCACCCAGCAGGTCTGGGCTGTCAGATGTTAACGGAGGGTCCCCGACCCGCCTTGTACATCTTGCATACTTCGGCCGCCAGACGCCAAGGGTCTCGGTGATCACTGGGAGCCCCGCCTCGCGCCTTCGACGAATGACGACGTCGCGAACACACACAAGTGTAGCATACACACAAAACATAGATAAGGAGCATGCGGACACAGTGCGCGTTACATGCTTTGATTTGAACGATTCCCACCGAAACGTTGTGAGTATGTCCAACGGTGCGCGCGCCTACTAGGACGGCGCGTGCGAGCACTCGGCAGAGGAAGCTGACGGAGCAAATGGTGGAGAAAAAAGTTGTGGCCGAATGCGTTCTATATTGTGGTATGCCACTGTTCTATTATAGTACACCCCCGTGTGCCAGCACGAATGTGCATCTTCTCGCTCTTCCCGATGCTTGTGGCCATGTGGGCTCGGGCGTTCGGCCGATGTTGAACAACAGTTGGGCGCATATGCTGGCCCTTAGGCCGTGCGCCCTCGACGCCGCGCGGCGGCGGGTCAGCACGGTGCTGCACGAGTACGACCTCCTCGGCCCGCGCCTCGCGCTGCAGGCGGAGGAACCCCAGTTCGAGGGAATCCTCGTGCAGGTGGCGGGCGCCGCGGACCTAAGCGTGGAGGAGCCGCGGCAGCCGCTGAGGGAGCTCGTTGAACGAACCGTTGATGCGGAACCCGTCCTGAAACGCCTGCGGGCGTGTCACAGTTTCCCCGAACGGGCCATTTTTGGGGACGCCGCAGCGTGCCTCCGATGGATGGACGACCGAAGTGCGGCCGAGGCCCCGCCGCCGCCAGGGGCCCGTGCGATGGCGGGGCCCCGCTTCGAGCGGAGGCGCCGCGCTCCGCGGAGGAGAGCGGGCGAGGGCGTGAGGTGCAGGAGCGGGCTCGGTGGAAACCTGATCGGGCTGCTCGAGGAGATGGGAGCGCCTTCCCGCGAGACTGCGCAGGTGCGCAAGCACCCGGAGCGGGCGAAGGACGGCGTCACGGGCTGCGCACGCATCAACACAGTGAGGTCGCACCTGCGAGTCATGGAGACGATGCGCGGGTGGCTCGTGCCCGCGCACGGAGCCCCGTGGCCCGCGAAGATCGTGCACTTCATCGATTACGTGCGCGCCAGGGCGGCCGAGCCGCGTGGGCCGACGGTACCTAACCTAACCAGACCCTGCGGGCTTTGGTCTGGGCGGAGCGGGTCGCGGGTGCCGATGCGAGCGACAAGCTCCTCCGCTCGGCCAGGGGCGCAGCAGGTCGCCGCGAACTTGGAGATGTTCCTCGGCGTGGGCAAGGGAAGGGGCCGCTCTTTTCCCCAGCGCGTTCATCGGGGCCTTGGAACGGCTGGTCTTGGACGACGGCCTCGCGCCGTACCTGCGCGGGGTGACGTGGCTTCGTCTCGTCAAGGACCGCTGGTTCTTCGGCATATACAGCGCATCAGAAAGGTGGGCCAGGCTGCTCGGCGCCGCACACGGGCGGTATTATTCCTTTGGGTGCCTTGTGGGAGACGACTGGCCAGTGGAACAATGCACCTACGCCGACGGCCTGGAGGCGATCGGTGTGTTTGTGTGTGTGGGAGAGGAAAACGAGGGCGACTGGCAGCGCTCTTCGTGGCCGACTTCTTCACCATCTTCGGTATTCCGGCGCAGAGAACCACGGCGCGTGGCGCCGTCGAGGCGGGCTGGGTAGGCGCCCGCTGCGATTGCCCCACGTACACCGCGGGCTTCTCAGAAGCGAGGGCGACCTGGGCAGCAGCCTGGCGCGAGGAGACGGTCGAACGAGGCACCGCCCGCGTGGGTTAGCTGGCGTCGGGCTTGGCGCGCCCGGGCTTCGCGGCGATGGTCCCGGCGCGGGGGCAGCCGCCATTGTGGCCGGCGCGCGCTTGGCTCGCCAGCGTCGCAAGGATGGGACAAGAAGAGGGTCTGCCTACAGTGGGCGACCAGGCTCGGCCCGACGTGGATTGGCAAGCGACTGGCGAGCGGGCGAAGTTTGGAGCCGCCTTGCAAGTTCAGAACCGAGAGCGCCGGGCGCACCCGCTTGAACGCGAAGGCAGAGGGGAAGGGGGGCGCTGGATAGGAGTCTGCGATGCACCGCCGAACGGCAGTGCGCGAGGGGCTCGCTGGCGCGCGCTGGGGGTAGACAAGGGCTGGCTCATCTGGGCGTGGGCCCAGGCAAACGACCCGAACGGCGCCATCGCGGCGCTCGAGCTTATCGGCGCGATCAGCCGCGCGAAGCTGTTCGCGAACCCCCGGGGGGCGCCGCCAGAGGGCGCACCTCGAAATGACGGGGTCGACGGGCAACCTGGGGAACGCTTGCGCGGCGAACAGAGCCACGTCGACCAGGCGGCCGTTGACGCCCCTCCTCGTCGAGCATTCGGACGAGCTGAGTCCGCGCATGATGGCGCTGAGCCTAGACTGGCCACCGCGCGAGGAGAACCAGGGGGCGGACGATTTAAGCAACGCGAAGACGTCGGACTTCGAAGAGCCCCTCAGGATCCACGTGGCGGCCGCGGACCTAGCATGGCAGGCGCTCGGCGAGGTGGCGCAGGCCTCCCGGGCGCCTTGCGCGCCCTCGTTGAGGATATGACATGCCGCAGCGGGGCGCGGCCAGAGGGGCCGCGGGCGCGCGCGCCTAGCGTTGCGGGGGCGCCCGGCACGTGGCATGCCGCATCGCGCGGGCGGGGCTGGAAGTCAGCGCGGCGGTGCGCTGGGCCCCGCGCGACCCATCGGGGCGGGGGCCCAGCGCGAGGTTCCGCGGCGCTCCTGCGGGGTAGCCCTGAACCCCCACCCACCAGTGGGCGCCACCGCGGAGCGGGCGGCGGCGGGAGGGCCAGGGCGTGAAGGCCCCCCACCCCCCTGCCGCGGCGGGCCTCACGGAAGGCGGGAAGGGCTTCGAGACCGCGCCCATGCTCCCTTTGCACGGCTGGGCGCGGGCGCGGCGGGGGGGCGGCGGCGCCTGCGCGACGGGGCGAGGAGGGCGAGGCGCGGCCGGCGGGCCTCGACGCTGGCGGTGCCCGACGGGGGGCCCAGGGACCGAGCCCCCCGCGCCCACGGGCCTCCGCCCCTGCGTCCTTGGCGACCCACTCCCATCGCTGAATGGGGGGCATCAAGTTCCTGGGAGCGGTTCGGGCCCCTGCGCTACAGGGCCCCTTGTCTCCGCCACCCGTGAAAGTTGCAGCAGCGTCATAATCTCCCCCCTTCTATCCCCGTCGCATCGCTCGTAAGGCCATTCGAGGATACGCCCCCGCGTGCCAACGCGAACGTGCATCCGTTGAGTCTGCCCGATGCCTGCGGCCACTTGGGCCCAGGCGCTCAGCCGATTTTGAAGAACCCACCCACCGCTCTGGGGCATCAAGTTCCAGGGAGAGGTTCGCGCCCCTTCGCTAAAGGGCCCCTGTCTGCGCCACCCGTAAAAGAGGCATCAACGTCTCCCCCCTCTGTCGCTCTTTCGCCACCATCGCACCGTTTGTTGGGCCATTTGAGGATCAGGACACATTAAGATGCGATGACACATGTTTTTTCGAGTGGCCCTCCGCCAATCTTGCCACCGTGCCTGGGTTGTGGATATGACGCCTTTTAGATGTTCGTTGGGATCTTGCGGAAGCTCCCAGAGTGACTGCTGGAGGCAGGTTTGAGCCCTCTGGGGGGCTGTTTTGGAGCCTCTTGGGGCCTCTTTTGATCCACTGGGGGGACATATGGGGTTTCTTGGCGGCCTTTTTGGGGGCACTTCTGGTTGTTTAAGAATTTCTTATGGGTTCCTGGGTGCCTTTTGGGGTGGGAATATGAATTGTCAGTTCGTGCTCCCCCTTTGGGGGCCGTCTTCTGGCTCTTTTTGTGCCATCTTGAGCGCCTCTTGGGCAGTGTTGGGGCCCTTTTGGGGGGCCTCTGGGGCGGTTGTTGGTGGCGTTTTGCGACGTTCTGGAACGTCGGAAATTCAAAAAGACGAGAGGCCGAAAAACATCGAATCAATTTGGGGGGAAAAACAAGATCTCGACCTCATGGGACCCTTTTTGGGCGCCGTTTTTCCCCACGGCGTCTTGAAGGGTTTTGGGGCCGTCTTGGGGCCATCTGGGCAGTTTTGGAACGATCGTTCGACGATTCGGGGTCCTTTTGGACTGTCTTGACAGCCTCTTGGGGCACTCCTGGCCCGTCTAGGGGTCTTCGTGGCTCCAAAAAAGTCATGGGCCAACACGCGACGCGGCGAAGAGGGCACGCGGGGAGCCCACGACGATTTGGCAATTTGGGGTCCAGGCCCCTTGAAGAATCCTCTGGCTCACCTACCATCCTCCTCCTCTTCGTACTCCTTGCGCGCTCGGGGCAACTCGAACATCGAGGTTCCTCAGTGTTGTCCGCTCCTCCTTGTCCGCTCCTCCTGAGGCCCGAGCCAGCCGCAGGGTAGATGCACCCCCTGCCCACGGCAGGATGCGCCGCCGCCAGCCATGTGGGGCGATAACCTCAAGACCATTCCTGAAGGCTCCCCCGCCCTAGACGTCCCGGCGCAGCGAAGAGTCACGCGGGGCGTTTGTTGCTCGTGACCTCGCCCACCGGCCCCAGGACCACCAAGAAACGATCGGTGATTCTCAGGGCATGTGTTAGCCCAGTGCGTGAGTGTGTGACCCCGTTCGGCTCAGCTAGATGCACGCAGCTTGTGCTGGCCCTCATTGCACCGCCTGCGTCGCATTGAAGGGCTTCGGTGGGTAAGAACATGCTGGCGCCAACACACGCTCTGAGGACAATCGAGACGGCCTGCCACGAGAAAACGGTCCCGGACATTGGATGGAGAGCTTCCCGGGCCGCGTGTCGTGAACGAAAGCATGACGTCGGAGATCAGCTGAATCAGCGCTCGCGGTCGCGCTTTTGAGGCTGTTCCTTCTGCGTGGCAGTTGCAGCGCTCCAGGCCTCCCAGGTCGGGTCCGAGTCGATGGGGTCAGAGGATCGCCTCGCATCGCCGATGCATCGGCGACGCGCCTCGATATGGAGCCCGACTTTCTCCATCCCAGCGTCACCGAAGCATCGGCGATACCTCGGCGATGCGGTGCGGTCGGCTGGCCCCAGTTGCTCCGACCCCATTGGCAGGCCTCCGGTGCGTCAGTGGCTCCGGAGCGGGCCCTGCGAGGCGGTTCCCCCACAGGGCCTGCACGTGCGCCTCGTCGAGCGGCAGGGGCGCCAGCTGGCTTCATCGGCGTGTTCGCCGCGGCAGCCGTCCAAAGTTTTCAGAGCACTGGAGAATCGCTTTCGAGAGTGTTGCAGAAAGTGAAGGTTCGTACAGAGAGCAATCTATGAAGTGCTGCGATGGAGACAGTAAGGGACACCAGGGCTCACATCCGGCCTTGGATAAGTTATGCAGGACCCTTACAGGCAGGGTAGTTCCATAACCGCCAGCACTTTGCAGTGTCGAGCGTTGCTTGCTCCGTAGTCTTTGGGCAGCTCGGCGCCGCGATATGAATGTCGCATCTTATGGAAAGGCGTGCCAGCGTGACCAAGGATGGCCCGAGGGGGTTGGCCGGGATGGTTGGCCGGGTTATTGGGGGTTGGCCGGGGGGATTGGTCGGGCTTTTCGTTGCAGGGGAAGTTTGAACCGTCCTGAGGTATTTACGAAGGTTTCCTACTGGAAGCGATAGTGCCGAATCTCTGTCCTGATTCTCCGCGAAGTCCTATTAGGCGCTGTGATCTCCCTCCTCTCTTGGTCCTCCTCCGGCGGCTCCCTATTTCATCGTCGTCCTCCTCTTATTGATCATCCTCATCATCCTCCTGCTTCTACTCCATCATCATTCTTCTCGTCTTCTTTCCTCCCTCACTCTCTGTGCGTCTGTGAGTGTACGGGGGGCTTGGGCGTGGCAGTTTCGGGCTATCGCGGTGCGCCGTTGTATCGACGACGCCCCAGCTGCTGGGTCAGAGCTTGGTGCACAGGTTTGTCACAAGTTACACAATGTATTGGTTCAAATTGTTGGCATCATGTCTTATCTGAGGCCACGCTGTCGTCAAGCAGGCCAGCCTCCAGCAGCAGGGTCCCCAGCCTCCACGCAGCGGCTGAGACACATCTGCCTTCCTTTGGGCCCCTCCCCCCCCCCACCCCCCCTTTTCTGCCTCCATTGCCCCCGCCCTCGACATCTTCTTCGAAATGCGTCCTGGGCGCCAGACCTTGGAAATCCAGGGGGGGGGTGCGGAGGGGTGGTCAGGAGATTGACTAGGGCTTCGTCAGAGGATGGCCAGGTTAAACTTCCACCCGTGCCCCTTACATCCCAGAGTCTCTTTCTTTTCCGTTCCCCTCCGCCCCCTCCGTTTTCTCTTCCTTTTCCTCTCCCCCGCGCCCCTGCCCGCCCCCGCGAAGACAAACCGATGCGGCGAAGGAGGGTGAAGAGGAAAGGAGAGGAGGGGAGAGGAGAGGAGAGGAGAGGAGAGGAGAGGAGAGGAGGGGGCAGGACAGGAGAGGAGAGGAGGAGGAGGAGGAGGAGAGGAGAGGAGAGGAGGAGAGGAGAGGAGAGGAGAGGAGAGGAGAGGAGAGGAGAGGAGAGGAGGAGAGGAGAGGAGAGGAGAGGAGAGGAGCGGAGAGGAGGAGGAGGAGGAAGAAGAAGAGGAGGAGGACTAGGAGAAGGGCGAGGAGGAAGAGGAGGAGGAGGAGGAGGAGGAGGAGGAGGAGGGGGAGCAGGATGATCAGGAGGAGTTGTAGGACGAGGAGCAAGGAGGCACATGGCGGATCATACGAGGAGGAAGGGGGGAGGTACGGAAGATGCGGGGTTGTTTGAGCGCGCCGGCTCGCGCACGGCGCAGTTCGCTGCGCCAGCGCTGCTTGCAAAGGTTTTGCCACTGCCAGCGGTGCTGCCAGGATGCCAGGAAGCCTAGTCCGAGCTCGCGGGCTCGCTTCCAGCACGCAGACTGCAGCGCGAGCGTCCTTCTTTTGCCGAGCCTTCCTCTACAGGTCCTGTGCCTCTTCCCTCCCGTGTCACTCCAGTGCCCCGCCTGCAAGCTTCGTGAGCCTGCTGGCTTGGTTCCACTTCATTTCGCACAGTCAGCGTTGGTGCCAGGACGCGCACTCCAAGCGTGCTGGCTCGCAGGAGCCGCGCATCGAATTACCAGCGCTGTCGGTTGGAAAATCGCTCCGAGCGTGCCGGCTTGCTTATGGTGCACTTCGCATAGCTAGCATGTCTGCCAAGGATTATGCCGATCAGCTCACTACAGGAGCGCCCGCTCGCACTTAATGATCATTACGCTGCCAGTGTTGATGCCAGGAAGCACACTCCAACTGTGGAGGTTCGCGGGCACCGCACATCGCATGGCCAGCGCTGCTGGCAGGAAGCTCTTTCCGAGCCTGCCGGCTCGCTCACGGCGCACGTCGCTCGAGAAACGTTTCTGCCGGGAGGCTCGCTCCATGCGTGCCCGCCCACACGCGATGGTCATCGCGCTACCCGCGCTGATGCCGGGAAGCTCAGCCCGCGCGTGCCCGTTCGTTTCCAGCCCGCTTCGGGTTGCTTAGGAGGGTTGGCCGGGGTTGGCCAGGGGGTTGGCGACGGTAACTTTAGATGAGCAATTTTCCCATGATCTATATATATAATATGGAGGAGGAGGATTAAAAAATGACCGGGGATCGTGTTCACGCGGCGGCGCCCGGGATGATGATTAGAAAAAACCGGCCCTGGGCTGGGAAACTATTGTCTTAATCGTCCCCCCCCCCCGCCGTCCTCGGGCGCGCGCCCCCCCCGGTGATGAAACACCGCACAGGCGAGCCCTGCTTCTGAGCGTTCCCCCCGGGTGTGGGAACCTATTTTTTTAATCGTTCCCCCCTCTTTTTTTCTTAATCGTCATCCCACATGATACATATATGTGTGTGTACATCAACCACCTTGTCATACAGATAAATCATCTTCTCATACAGCAGCACTGGCCGCTGAAGCCACCTGCAGCACTCCCCGTAGATACCGCCTACGGCGCTCCCGAGAAAACCGGTCTTGGCACGAGCGAGTCCTGTCCTGTATGAGTTGTTCCCCCCCTTTCTCTCCACTTCTCTTCGTATCTCTCGCCCTATGTTTTTTGTCTCTCTCTCTCTCTCTCTATCTCTCTCTCTATCTGTCTCCCCCCCTCTCTCCCTCTTCCGTCCTGAGTGCCAGTGTGGCTTGCATCGATGGCCGATTTGGTCATAGGCGTTCTGGGCACAGCGCTTTTGTCTCTTATCCCTCTCATGTATTGCTCCTGCTTAATACTTCCTCGGCTGCGCGCGTCGGCTAGATTCGACCTCAGGGGCATCAATGTTACTCCATGCTGCACGTCAAAGAAAATATTATCATGTGGCATTGCACTCCTGGACCCAGTGGGTGCTGGCCCACTGGGGCCACGCTGGGTCCTAGTCGGCTGGCTCATACCATCATTCGGCTGAGCTTATAAGAGTTCCTCGTGATAGGCTGTAAATCGTTGGAGCTTGAATGACTCATCGGACATGGTTTTTCATTGAGACTAGCTCGGCTTCGATTTACCCTGTCTAGCGCAATCCGGATTAATCCAGTTGAATGTAATGAGGTCTTTCGGCTGATCCAGTTTACGTACAATGTCTTATTGCAAAGGCTTTACGGCCAGTTCCGCCGACCTTGAAAAGAGATCAGTGACAGCGCAAGAGGCGGTAGGTGGCGGGAGAGTCGGAGGACTCTCTGAGGCCTCTCGGGAGCTTTTTGGCGGTCTCGGGGGGCCTTTTGAGGGACTGGCGAAAGCCTGCTAAAGGTTTCGGGGTTCCTCTTGGGGCGGTGGCGGCCTCTTGGAACCATCTTGGGCCGTCTGGGGGTCTCTGGGGCCATCTTGGGGCTGTCTTGGGCAATTCTGGAGCTCTATGTAGGGCCCCTTGCGCGAACGAGCGAACGAACGGAATGCCATACGCCGGAGCGCGTGGGCAAAAGATGACAATGCCAACCGGAACTCACCGCTTTGCGGGAGCGTCTGCACGTCGGCTGTCTGTTAATTCACACCATGCGCTGCTTGATGACGAGTGGGGAGAGGAGGGACGGGGGAGGTGGAGGAGGAGGAGGAGGAGGAGCAGGGGGAGGACGGAGAGTCGCAGCATCAATCACGAAAGTGCGCCAAGTTGCTGGCTCATATGGGCGCTGCATGTTAGCCTCTTTCGATGAAAATGCGGAGCGACTGCTTTGTACTAGCCCTTCGCCCATTTATTTCTAGGCCGGCCTCGTCCTCGGACGCATGCGTCTGTGGCTGGCCGCGTGCTTCCTGGTTGGAGGGTGAGGCGACGCAGAAAATCTGAACATGTCGTCCTACATTCTTTGCCATACCAAGTTGCGCTGTGTAGGGCGATTGGCTTGCTTGCAACAGCACTTGTTCTTAGGGACTTTTCAAATCCATACGTGGGGAATGTGCGAGATTCTACGTAGGTATCTCGCTTGGAAACCGTTTAGTCGTCGGCATTCAGCTTTGTTGAGCCATGACGAGTTCAGCGAGCACATAACCTTACCGGTCTCCAGCGTTTGAAATGTACTTGAAGTTTTCTGGTAGTACTGATTGCCGAGTGCTTCCAGGCGCGACTGCGCCTGCAGAACTCACCCCGTGCAGCTCCTAATCTCTTCCCCATTTCCCCGCACAGTTTGCCAGCATTTTGAACGCGTGTCCCCGAGGTAGACCATGGACTCTTTAGCTACGATTTGCACGCCAGAGGGCGTCAAGAGAGACATGTCGCAACGAAGCGGCACGATTTGCAGTTTATCCCAATATAATTCCATGCCAACTCGTGCACCTGCTTTAGAAATTGCTCTCGAGAGATTGTGCATATTCTCAGGATTGCGATCCACAAGAAATGTTTAATCCGCGTGCAACAATATACCCAAGGTCCCGTTTTCCAAAGCTCGTCGTATTTCGGCGTCTTCGTTGTGTGTGTGACACTTCGAATTACCAGTGTCATTACCATAAGGAATAGGATAGGCGAAAGCGGGCAACATTGTGATCCACGCTGCAGTTTCTAAAACCGACGAACAGCTTGCATTGCATCTGAAGTCCCGGGCCTTCTTCGGAAGCCAAACTGCATTGGTGATCATGTGTCCTCTGCCCCTGCATCTTGCAATCGCCGTAGAATGAGACCAGCTATCAGCTTATACGCCACACAATGTAGGCTGATGTGGTGTCAATTGTCGCAAATGTCAGCGCCCCCCCCCAATGTTCGTATATCGTTGAAGTGGTAGGCTGCCTGAAGTCTTCAGGGACCGCCTCCTCGTTCCAACATGTGTTGCATAAACTTGTGATCCACTCCAGCCCGCCCGGTTCTATAGCAATAGCCTCCCAAAAATTCTGCAGGGATTCCGTCCACACCAGAAGCTCTGCCACCTTTGAGTTTGTCGATTGGTTTGCAAACCTCTTCTTTTAGAGCATTCGATTCCAAGACAGGCGAAGTAACTCCTGATGACACGTCTAGCAGCTGTGCAGCGCGCACTCTCCATTGCACTTTCTCCAGATACTCTGCCATTGTCTCTATTCTTTGTGGATTTTCCACGAGCTCACCACTCATATTTCTAGGCCTCCCTTGGCGGCTTGGCTTAGGTCGGCAATGCCTTTTCAGAGCGTCCCAGCTGCTGGTCGAAATTTGATTATCAGCCCAGACTCTTTTATCTTGTTTACACGCAATGCGCACTGCTTTCAACAAGTTTCTACCTTCGGTTATGTTGTTGGCCACTCGGGCTTCGGGACGGCGGCGAATCAGATCAAGGGTGCGTTGTGGAATCCATCGCTGGAAACTCTCTTCCTGGCGCTCCAGAAGCGCGCTGGCTGCAGATTGCGCTGCTGTTTTCACTCTTTCTCAGATGTGTTGGATATCAGCTGGCGGCCCAGGAAGCTGCGAAATCGTTCCCATTGCCCACGTATTCATTAATTATTTTTTGGTCTTGCATGCCAGTTCTGTTTGGCCGTCGGGTTCGGCGTGGTTTCTGTATAGATGGTGGCGCAACCAGATACGCCACCACCAGGTAATGGTCTGTAGCCAGGGCCGCTTCGTGGTGACTTCGTAGCGTAACAACTTGCGGACGCAAATGTGTTCACATATTAATCAGGTCCTAAATATTATAACTATCTTCTGTTATGCCCCCAATTGGCAGGGCACCCGCTTCCATGAACGTGACTTTTTCTTCCAGTGGCTGCGAAACCCATATATTTACAATTTGGAGGGCTCTACCCGTGCAGAACTCCATCATCGAATTTCGGTTTGGCTGCTCATCTTCGTGCTGCGCTCGCCGTCCCCATCCAAATTCTCCCACAACCGCGTCTTCTCCTGGATCTGATTTCCCCATTCCTGCGTTGACATCGCCAATGATCAGCTTACCAGCGGCGGCATTGCAAGACCAGTATGTCGAATCCAACGCTGTGTATGAATCACGTCGTTCAGCAAGCGGCTTGAGGTTGTGAGGCACGTATCCAGTGATAAAGGCCAGCGCCCCCATGCCGGTCTGATGTTTAGCCAAGCCAATAAGTCAGATAATTCTTCCCATGCTTGAAATATTATTCGACATGTTGGTGAGATGATGTATCCAACGCCTGTCCAAGTACGTTCGTTTGTGTCTTCGCCAGATGGAATAATCTTGTACCCGTCGGCCTCGTAAGCTTCTGCTTTTGCGCGACGGGCTTCCTTCAGAGCTAAAATTGCCATCGCTATGTTCATCCATACGCGGTGTAATTTTAACAGTTCTCGTATCAGTGAGGCCTCGAACGTTCCACGATTTGATTGCAGTCGTGTCGTTGGGGGGAGGGGAAGTGAAAACGGGGAGGATTGGGATATTTCTGGTTACTGTAGCTCTGCCCTCTTCAGCGAGCGCCCCCAAGTCGGCACGGAAGGAGACGGAGATTGGTCGGGAGGAAGGCAATCGTATCTGCCATTGTCATCGCAGCGGGCCGCTGTGTTTTGAGCGAGGGGTGAAAGAAGATGCCGATCGAAATCGTTACCTCGTGCACGGTGGTGACTCCGAGGCTGTAGTGAAGAGGAAGGAGAAAAACAAGTAGGAGAACCTGCACACGGCGTGCATTTTTGCCCATCTCCGCTACATTCGCTCCTGTTGAAGCTCGGCGGTCGCGACGAGGAGAAAGTATGCAATTTTGGGGAGAAGTGTCATTTCCCTGATATTTTTGTGCACTATCTCGATTCTCAATTGGGCGGCCAGGGAGTAAATCGAATGCAATTCCATGAGATTGCGTATCATGTATGGTATCTTTGCCCAACTCGAACGCGCATGGTGGGGATGAAGAAGGAGCGTCGGGATGTGGGAGGAAAAAGCCTCCTGGTAGTGCAGCGGTGTTGGCTCCGGCATTGGTCGGAAGTCTTGTGCTCGTTTTGGTGGTGGCCACAGCTTGCCACGGATCCTACTTCGAACTCTTTGGGCTGCCTTTCGCCCCGCCCTTCCGGTTCGCCGCCGCGCGGTTCACGATCCCGTCGCATGCCGCAATGAGTTAATGGAGTTTCATTTGGTTGTGCAATTCTTGCCAATCTTCGCATTGCTTAGTCAATTCCCGGATGATTGTGCCACCGACGATCTTCATTGAAAGTGCCAATCCGATTGTAACCGCGTACGGTTGGGCATCCTCGTCCACACGTATACGATATTTGATATCTAATGGCCATTGTTGTGTTCAGCATGTATTTGAAGCCGAAGCAAAAAATGCGAGCGGCTCTTACCAGAGGCGGGCGGTCGGGTGTAACCCATAAATTTTGCCATTCTTGTCAAGCGAAGCATCCCCGAATTTCATGACAGCCGTGTTTCTTTCTGTCTTCGACTTTTCGAAATTCAGAAATTATTATATTCTTGAATTGGCACTGGTGCGGAGAAACCGTTCGCTTCTTGGACGACCCATTCGGTAGCAGCATCGATGCTCACAAACCCGTCAACATTTCAAATGATTGTTGTAAGCTCCCTTCCCCTTCTGTCACCTGTGCTCGTTTTAGTTCTAGAGGTCGCACATGTACTACTTCGAATTGCAACAGCTTCACGTTCGAGCTCCACTAATTTGGTCTGGGCGTCCGTGTCGATGGACACTCCAGATGCCGATGTCGCAGATTGTGCTCTTGACGCAACTTTTGCCTCCAACGTTTCCATTCGCTTCGTAAGGTCGTCGATGTTTGATTTTGGTCCTGTCACTGTGTTTTCCAAGTCGTGCTGTGACACTCTGTGTAGCTTGATGGCGGTGATGTCCTTCCAAATGGGGTCCGACTGCGTGCGTAGAATCCTCTCCAACGTTCCTGCTGCTCGCGGCTCGTTGGAAGTGCCAGCGGCTCCAGCAAGATTAGCTTGGAGCTGCTGTTGACGCTGTTAGAGGGAGTCATCGGCAACTCCTTCACTTGCGCTCCTTGCACCGTCTTGGGGAAATATCGGGGCTCGCTTGGACCTGCTTGAGGCTTGGAAAAGGAGAAACATCGAGAGCGATGAACTCCCGCGAAAGCCCACGCATACGTGGTGATTTGCGCCTTCTGGAGACCTCGTTCGGGGTCCCATCGAGGCCTTCTTGGGCCGTCTTGGAGGCTTCTGGGCCCTCCCGGCGCCCTCTTCTGCGTCGTGGACCTGCATTGCCGCAACAAGTCCAGTCGGCTCAAGGAGCAGCGAAAGGGAGGAGGGAAAGGAGCGCACTCCGATCCAAGAATCTCTCCCCGACCTCCTTGTGCGTTTGCGCAGCCGGGGAGAGCGGGGGAGCACACCTCCCGACCCTCCCCCAGGGTACCCCCGGTCGGGGAGGGGACCAAGGGGAGGTGTTCCCGTGTCGAGGCTGCTACGACTTGGAACGACTTCTCTCGGGTCGGCGACCTCGAAACGCACCATCCAGCGACCTCGCAACGCTCTGGGATGCTAGGCTCTGCAAAGCTCTGGGATGGTGGGCTCTGCGAAGCCACTCACACGCCGGTAGGGGTCAGCGGATTTGCCGCTACAGAGCTCGTAAAAATTCCTACGAAGGCAAGCCAGGAGCCATTGCCATTGAGCCGCCAGTTGTGTTTCAATGCGCGCGTGTTTCCCCGAGCTTTCGCCGCCTTCGAAAGGACAGTTTGTCGAACCCGCGTCGTACTGGACGAGCCCAAACCGCGCCTCCAGAGGCCGAAGCCGTGGAAAAGCACTTGTCTGGTACTTTGCCATAGACGTTAGAGGTATGTTACGTCGTGAGAGAGAGAGAGGAATATGGGACAACAAAAACGGTTGGTATGTGTACACCTTTACATACATATAATACATATATAAGTATAAACATATATACATATATATATTTATGTATAATACACATATACATCCACACACACATATAATATACATCAAATTATATAGTGAGAATCAACAAACAATAGTATTGCTGGTCGAAGGCTGTCGACCGCGGCTTGTCGGATTTTCCCACCCCACCCCCCCTCCCCACCAGAGGCGTGGACGGCAAGGCCGCCCTCGAGGAGGTCAGGGCGCGAGTCTTCGGAAGAGATGGCGGGCGGGCGGGCAGGGCCGGGGCGGGCCACGGGGGCGTGGCGCACAGCGATCGCTAGCCGTTTACCCCTTGCTGCAGTGTGGGTCAATCAGGGGCAACAGCAGGGGGGGGGCATAAGGGGGCGATGCATAGACTGCGAATCGCCTATCGATCGCTGATCGGGCTCTGATAGCCCCACCCCGCCCAGGAAGGTGCGGATCCGCTATCGGGGGGCCATCGCCGATCTATCGGCGATGCATCGCCGATTCCAGATCGATGTGTCCCCCCGTATGCCAGTCCCCCCCCTCGATGCCCCTCGGTCAAGACGGGCGCCAATTGCCAGTCTAGGGTCCCGAGGCCGAGCAACTTGCACCCAAGCAGAAGTATTGCGAATCCAGCTTTCTGACTGAGATGTTTGCGAGCCCTCCTTGGGGTGACGGCGCCCTGATCAGATCGAGGCAGGCTGATGTGTCCCCGACTTGGGTCGCGGGGGGCCCGTTCCTGGCCGAGAACGACTCGGAACGGAAAGCGGGGCCCCCGGGACGGGGTCGAGATTTTCGTGGGCCGTGCGGCGATGACGTCGCGGCGTCGGAGGCTGCGGGGAGGGCGAGGCAGGGTGCGTTCTCTTGGACCCGTGCTCCGGGCCCCCCTCTCTGTGGGCACCTCCTGCGGAGTGCTTTCTTTGGCCAGGCTTCCTCTTGAAGCGAAGGTCAAGAGCCAGGCTACATGAGGAGAAGGAAAGAGCCAGAGGAGATGAAGGAGGACGGGAGAGAGAGAGAGAGAGAGAGAGGTTGACGCTCCGCGCTCCGCGTATCCCCGCCAGCTGAGCGGCCGCGAGGCTCGCCTCCTCTTTGTTCCTCTCCCCGCTTTCTCTTGTCCCTTTCCGCCCCTCCTGCTCCCCGTGCGCGAATTTGGGCCGTTGCCCGTGCGCTTCGCTCCTGGACGCCGCCCGACCTCTTCCGCCTCGGTCGCGACCAAACAAGTGTCCCCGCCACCGCTCGTTGCTCTGCCTGTTCCCTTCGCAGCGGGCGCAGCCCCCCCCTGCATGCCCGGCGTCCGGCCCGCTTCTCGCGCGCCGTGCGTGCCCAGAAGTATCCCCGCCGGCCCATCCGGGCCCGCTTGGGGCTCGGGTCGGGCTCTCGTCTGGGTCCGGACACTGGCCTCTTGGGGCGTTGTAAGGGCGCTCTTGGGGCCACCCTATAGGTCCCTCTTGGGACCCTCTTGGGGCCCTCCTGGGGCCTCTCGGGCCACAGTGGAGCCATCTTGAGGTCTGAAGAGGCCACTCGGAAGCGAAAAGCGGAGACGGCAAAAACATTGGAACGAACACCATGGTTTTGCGTGATGGAGGCCTTCTTGGGAGGCTCGGAGGACACAGGGGGCCGTCCTTGGACGATCTTGAAGGCTCTTGGAGGCATGTTGGGGGCCATCTTGAACCATCTCGGGGTGTCTTGAGCGATCTTGGAGGCCATCGTGGGTTCTCTGGGGCCCTCGTGGGGCCATCTGGGGCCCAAAAAAACCTTCTGACACCTCGCAGGGGGAGGGTTCCAGACCCAGTTACACGGGGTGAGGGAAGGGGGAAGCGGAACCCCCTCCCCGAAGGGGGCCCCCCTTTGGGGGTCAGCAGAGCAAGCTCGTTATACCATTCGCGCCCTAAAAGGCTGGTGAGACTAGGAGGAGAAGGAGGAGAATGAGGAGGAGGAGGAGGAGGAGGAGGAGGAGGAGGAGGAGGAGGAGGGTGGAGGAGGTGGAGGTGGAGGAGGAGGACGGGAGGAAGAGGTGAGGAGGAGGATGGGGAGAAGGAGGAAGGGAGGGAGAGTGAGATGATGAGGACGAATGGTGCAGGGGAGAGAAAGAAAGAGAGAGAGAGAGAGAGAGGGAGAGAGAGAGAGAGAAAAGAGAGAGAGAGAGAGAGAAATGGAGAGCAAAAGTGGGAGTAGGAGCAAGAGCAGCTGCAGGATTAGAGGAAGGAGGAGCGGAAGGAGGAGGAGCCAGCTCAGTCCTGGGCCCATCAGCGGTGGACGCGGCATTCACCGCCTCGCCCAAGGAAGGTGCCCGCACCAATCCTTGGGCCCGGGACCGGCCAAGGGCCAGGCCAGGTGCAGCCGATTAGCTCAGTTGGCCCCATCCCACCCACATCTCTGACATCGTGGGATTTTCGAACGGAGTTTTGCCTACCAAAGTAGTATCAGTAGTATTATTAGCATGCTTAGTAGTCGTCGTAGTAGTAGAAGTAGCAGTAGTAGTGATAGTAGCAGTAGTAGCAGTAGTAGTAGTAGTAGTAGTAGTAGTAGTAGTAGTAGTAGTAGTAGTAGTAGTAGTAGTAGTAGTAGTAGTAGTAGTAGTAGTAGTAGTAGTAGTAGTAGTAGTAGTAGTAGTAGTAGTAGTAGTAGTAGTAGTAGTAGTAGTAGTAGTAGTAGTAGTAGTAGTAGTAGTAGTAGTAGTAGTAGTAGTCGTAGTAGTAGTAGTAGTAGTAGTAGTAGTAGTAGTAGTAGTAGTAGTAGTAGTAGTAGTAGTAGTAGTAAGAGTAAGAGTAAGAGTAGGAGTAGTAGTAGTAGCAGTAGTAGCAGTAGTAGCAGTAGCAGTAGTAGTAGTAGTAGTAGTAGTAGTAGTAGGAGTAGTCGTAGTGTAGTCGTAGTCGTAGTCGTCGTCGTAGTCGTAGTCGTAGTAGTAGTAGTAGTAGTAGTAGTAGTAGTAGTAGTAGTAGTAGTAGTAGTAGTGGTGGTAGTAGTAGTAGTAGTAGTAGTACGAGTCGCAGTAATAGTCATTGTCGTCGTAGTCGTGGTCGTAGTCGTAGTTCTAGTCGTAGTTGTAGTCGTAGTCGTAGTCGCCGTAGTCGCAGCAGCAGCAGCAGCAGCAGCAGCAGCAGCAGCAGCAGTAGTAGTAGTAGTAGTAGTAAGAATAGTAGTAGTAGTAGTAGTAGTAGTAGGAGTAGGAGTAGTAGTAGTAGTAGTAGTAGTAGTAGTAGTAGTAGTAGTAGTAGTAGTAGTAGTAGTAGTAATAGTAGTAGTAGTAGTCGTAGTCGTAGTCGTAGTAGTTGTAGGCGTAGTTGCAGTCGTTGTCGTCGTCGTCGTTGTCGTCGTCGTAGGCGTAGCCGTAGTGTTCGTCGTAGTCGTAGTCGTAGTAGTAGTCATAGCCCATCCATACTTGATTACCAGTTTTCTTGAGGCCTCTTGGAGGCTATCTTGAGCCATGCTCGGCTAGAGGCTGTCGGAGGCTATCTTGAGCCATGCTCGGCTATATTGGGCCATCTTGAGGCTGCCTTGAGGCCTCTTGGAGGGCTGTCGCAGGCTATCTTGAGCCATGCTTGGTTATATTATGCAATTTTGAAGGCCATCTTGGGCTATCTGGGGCTCTCTTGGAGCCATCTTGGGCCAAAAAGGGAGGGGTGGAGGGTCTTTGGGAGAGGCTGGGAGGCCTCTTGGGGCCATGTTGGGCCCCATGGCTCAAAAAAAGGAGGTCCCTCAATTAGGACCTCCCCCTCGGAGGCTCAACAATGGCGTCTTGGGGCTCTCTTGGGCAGCTCTTGGGCGCCTCTTGGGCGATCTTGGGGCCGTCTTGGGCCTTCCTGGGCCCCTCTTGGGGCTCTCTTGGGCCATCTTGGGGCCATCTTGAGGTCCCAGAGGCCCATCGGAAGCGAAAAGGCGAGAATGCCAAACACATTAATTTTCCATAGGCTTTTGAAGGGTTTTGGCATGTTGGAGGGCGCCGTGGAGGGCTCGAAGGGCACTTGGATCCGCCTTGGGGCTGTCTTGGGGCCTCTTGGAGGTATGTCGGAGGCTATCTTGATCCATCTTGGAGTACCTTGGGCCATTTTGGAGGCCATCTTGCGACTTGGAGCGCCCCTCCAGGTCCAGGGGAGGGGGTAGGGGGAGGGGTAAACCCCTCCCCCGAGCAGGGGAAGGAGGGGGAAGAGAGAAGAACAAACTCGTTATACCACCGTAGCCTTAAAGGGCTGGTGGGATTCAGACAACACGCTCAGGGCGTGCTAAACCTGTACGTTTGGGCCTCTCCTCCCTCGCGAAGTCAACCAACAAAGAACAGTAAGCAGCAAGAAACATAACTGTAACAGTGGAACTGGAAGCTGCAACTGGTACAGGGCCGGCGGATTTTGGTTGTGTAGGTTAAACATAGAACTTGTCGGACGGTGTTCCCTCGGACTTTTTTTTGTTTGTTCTTGATTTCCCAACAAGTTTCCTAACGTTTCGGCCTTCAGTACTTCAGTGTTGTTGTTGTTGTTGATGATGATGTTGTTGTTGTTGTTGTTGCTGCTGTTGTTGTTGTTGTTGTTGTTGTTGTTTGTTGTGTTCATTGTGTTTGTTAGGTTGTTCCGTTTGTGCTTGCTTACGATGGGGTTTCCACTTGATTTCTATTGCATTTGATTTTTATTGTGTGGGTTACACATAAAATCGTGTTGTGCCAAAGCTCACGCGGGGCGGTACTAGTAGTAGTCGTAGTAGTAGTAGTAGTAGTAGTCGTAGCCGTAGTAGTAGTAGTAGTAGTAGTCGTAGTAGTAGTAGTAGTAGTAGTAGTAGTAGTAGTAGTCGTGGTGCTAATAGTAGTAGTAGTCGCAGTCGCCGACGTAGTCGTAGTCGTGGTCGCAGGTCGTAGCAGCAGCAGTAGTGGTAGTAGTAATAGCAGGCAGTAGTAGATGTAGTAGTAGTAGTAGTAGTAGTAGTAGTGGTAGTGGTAGTAGTAGTAGTAGTAGTTGCCGTCGTCGCCGTGGTCGTTGTAGTAGTAGTAGTAGTAGTATCAGTAGTTGTAGCAGTAGTAGTAGAAGAAGTAGTAGTAGTAGTAGTCGTCGTAGTAGTAGTGGTAGTGGTGGTGGTAGTGGTAGTAGTATTAGTGGCGCTAGTAGTAGTCGTAGTAGTAATAGTAATAGTTGCAGTAGTAGTAGTAGTAGTAGTAGTAGTAGTAGAGGTAGTAGTAGTAGTAGTAGTAGTAGTAGTCGTAGTCGTAGTCGTAGTCGTAGTCGTAGTCGTAGTCGTGATCGTAGTCGCAGTCGTAGCCGTTGACGTAGTCG